AGAACTGCAGGTAGAGGTTTTCTGCTCTACCTTGCTGGCCAGTGAGTGAAAGCAGATGATTAGGCACTGCTTCCGGGTATACTACACGTTGTAACCCTGTTTGATTTTTGCCCTTTCTTACTTTTTTCAAATTTCAATTCTACATCAGTCTCGGGTACACTTGTGATTTACATTCTTCCATTAAGTAAATTCTATTGCAAAGTTATTTTTAAGTGTTTAAAATCTGTTCCTGTTCTTGTGATAATATGCTGTTCTCCCACTCTAAAACTTTTAGAAACTATTATACCTGGTTTATAATTCTTTCATTTGTTTGTTTGTTTGTTTTTTGGTACCGAGAATCAAATTCGGGTCCTTGTGCTTCTGGTTTATATTTCTTTATTGTTTCCTTCTTTAAGTTTGTCAGCATAACCTATGAAGCTATAAAATTTATATCCCATAAACCCTCTTTATTCTCCAGAGTTACTATGTTAACTGACTCCTTCCTTTCATTTTAAGCAGTTATAAACAAATCAAATAGCAGTGGTAATGGTGAGTTGATTACAACCGCATGGTAAAGAGCAGGGTTTGGGGATTTGACAGACTTAGATTTGAATCCTGTCCACACCTTTTCATGTTAGTGAGATATGAAGAGATCTGTGCTGCCTTTCTGTGCCTCAGTTTATTAACCTGGATGCTACGTACCTCATGGAGTTTTTGTGAGGATGAAATGATAGCATGTGTAACTGATAGCACTCAGAAAGTGGGGTTTTTCTTGGGTTCTGTTACATCCTAGAATTTGTAATGGGGTGAGCTCCACATGAGTCCAAGGTAATGAATGAAGTACCGCGCTATCCCTGAAGAGCTAAATTCATTGCCTGAGTGATAGACGGTCCTATCTTCTGTTGACTGTACATTTCTTGACTCCAAGAAAGCATCTCTAAAGAAGGGCTCTTTCTTCATGTCATAACTATTCACAGGCATACATTCTGTGCAAGTACCTGGGCCAGGCTTTCTAAGGCATAGGTAAGCCTGGCCCCAGCCTTCAGTGATCTTACAGTCCAGGTCAAAACAGAAACCTGGCTACAGTGAAATGTAGAAAGTACATGTCCTGAAACATTCTCAGATTGTGTGCTGTAGAAGGTCAAGAAGGCTGCATTGTTTCTAGCCAGAGGTGTTCAAGAGCAAACCCATTTCCCCCCAACTTCTGCAGCCCAATCTGTTCCTCCACCTGCACTCTCTTCTTTGCAAATGAATACTACTGTGTGCCTGTTATCCTAGCTGTGGCACAAGGAAAGGTGCTCTCTCCCCCTACCACCTTCTGCAAGGTTGTCACCAGACTCATTTATTCCTCACCTTCGCCTTCCCTAAGCCTCTCTGTCTTTCTTCGCTGTGCTGGCTGGCTGAGCTCTGAGGTTCTCACACCTGTGTGTGTGTCTTAGCACCGCCAAAAGCCATGTTACAACACAGATAGGGGAGGAGTATGTCTTCCAATTCAAGAATTGGGGTGGGGCCTGACAATTTGTGTCTCTAACAAGTTTCTGGTGATGCTGCTGCTGCTGTCTTGCTAGCTGAACTGTCTCTCATCTTTTTAGGTTGGGGGTGAAACCCAGGACCTCACACATATAGGCAAGCACTTTACCTCTTAGCTACACTTCACTGCCTGTTTGTAAACTGTATCCTTCTCCTTCATTACTCTTCAACCTGCTCTCAAACTCTGGAAAAAAAAATATAAATCTTTTTTGATCACCAACAGAATAAATGTCAATATTTCTTGCATAACTTACTTTATCCTCAATTACCCAGCTCCTTTCTGACTGTCACCTACTGTTTTGCTGACCCCCATACCCAAAACCTGCCACATCGAACACCTAAAGCTTTTTAATATCTGTTCCATTTAATCTGTTATCTTTACCTCTACTGCTCACTTTATCGTCAAGGCTCAAATCCCTTTCTTTACCTGCTGACTCTTATAAGTCTTTGTGCACCACTTCAAGCACCACAGAGTTCCCTTTTCATCAACAGTAGGGACAGGTGCCTTACCTGCGTGCCTTCTATGCCCTGGCATTATCATATGTGCCCGCCTATGTCTACACCATCCACAAAACTCTGAGCTGCTTGAGATGGTGAATCAAATCTTTCCCCTCCATAGCTACAACCCTAGGCAGCACATTGCTCCACAGGGTTGGAATGGATCATGAATGAAAGGAGAGATCCAGAAAGGCTACTTGGAAAGGGAGACAGTTTAGCCACATTAGGATTTGGATGTGTAGAGATAAAATGGAAGAAAATTCTTAAAGAGGAAGCTTGAGCCTGCGGTTGGACTTTGGCTTTGGTGTGATGAAGGAGCAAGGAGGGGTCTGGTTTGTCTGGCCATAGCACAGGTGACCTTTAGGACCATTTGAGGGACACAGAACAGGTAGAATTAACATGACTCAGCAAGGGGATGAATATAGGAGCCCAGGAAAGACCCAGATCGAAGTTAGAATATGGAGGGTATCATTAACCAGAATCCAACTGTGTTGGGATGGATTGGGCTGGATAAAGACTAAACAGGATGAAAGGTGGGACTGGCCATGGCCGATTTGAGAGACTCTTAGGACGTATTCCACTGTCTTCTTTATGAGTGTTCCCTCCCATTTTATCCATGTTTGTCTGGAATGCTTGATAAATACTCACTGAGTGATGAATAAATATATGCAGCAGAATTAGAATAAAGGACAGGAGTGATTCTGCAGGAGAGGTGAGTCCTGGTGATGTTGTGAGGTGGTGTCATTGTGATGCCACCTATATAAAAATCAGAGCAAGATGGGAGGAAAAGCAGCCTTTTGAGGTCGGTAGGAGGACCAGCTGCAGGAGTTCAGGAGACCAGGAATGGGCCAAGTCTCTCCTTTTGTTATGGTCAAATGATACCTTGAACGTGATGCTGTAATGGGTGCTTGTGGCACATCATAACTGATTTTATTGTTTGGTGCATGGCAACAAAGCGTAGGAAAGGGAAATGTACCTGTCCTCACTGTGTTAATTCAATAAATGTGAGCATTAGCCACTTTTTATGTAAAGAAACATCTAGAGAAAATTCTACATTGTCCCTGCTAATCCATTTCCCTTGTGAGATAGACAGCTTTATGACTTATTATGACACTGTTCTCAACAGTCTCGCCATTACTGTTCTCCCATTAATTTTAACACCCTGACATGTGTCTAGAGAATGTACTATAATGTTGAATGGGTAACTTGCTGTTCTTGTTTTCTTCTTGCAGTACTAAGGGGCTTTCTTATGTGACTCTTATGTATTCAGGGAAATATCTGAATAAAAATAATCTAGGTGAAAGCATGAAAGGTCTTTACAGTAAACATACACACAGACAAAAGTTATTTTTCTAAGCAAGCATCTCCAGCGATAATTGACCATGTATATGCTCCCAAGTCAGTAATTCTATTGGTCAAGCCATCAAAACTCAAACTTGACAGTGTGCCCAAGCAGGAATCTGTACTACTGGAAGCAAGCACATGCGGCCAGCATGTAAAGGATGAAGAAGAGAGAGGCAGGATTCAATTGCCTTTTGTGTCAAGCCTGGGGAAGTGCAAACCATTATTCACCCCTGCTTGCCCCTGACTAAGGAAACACAAGGTTTAGAAACTGAAAATCATTTGCCTTTAAATCTGAGTTTCATTTCTTCAAGCAATCACTGCCACCGCGAGTAGCTAGATGGTTTGGACAGTGAGCTCCGGGGGTATCAATCTATAAAGCATGTACTCGTCAGAATTAATACACTGAACAAATATTTATCAAGCACACACGCAGGAGTCAGCCCTGAGTCAAACGGTCAGGAATAAGACAGTTGTGCTTGAGACAAACCTGGAGGTCCAGACTCCTTAATTTATTATTGTCATTGCTGCTGGGCTTAATATATGAATGAACGCTTTTGTTCCTGGTTTTCAACCTGAACTAGTTCATAAAATCAGAAATACTGCACATCTGATGTTCATCCAAAATAGTAATCTTCAATGTGCTTTTAAGAGAATTCCCATATCCATTTTGATGGGGCCAATTGGAAATTCTGAAGAGAGTGGAATTCAGGAAGTCACAAGTCACGGAGTCTTAAGAATGCCTGGAATTTCTAACAGCTTTTTCTAAACATTTTCTGTATCATGTCATGTTCCAGAAGACCATAAAAGTTAGTTTACAAGAATATAAACTACTTTTTGCCTTGCTGATAATTCCAAATAAACAATTCAGATGACCACCCACCAAAAAAAAAAAAAAAAAAAAAAAAGTTT